GTTTGAACTATGGTGGAGGCTGTGTGAGTGGAGAGGAGGAGATGGATGTGAGAGATGTTGTGGAGGTGGTGTCAACAAGACTTGACAACCCGTTGGATGTGGGGGTTGTTGTGGGAGGAAGGGGAAAGTCAAGGATGACTCCTAGCTTGCAGAGCCTGGTGGCTGGATGGGAGTACCCTCAGCAGAAGAAGGGAAGTGATGCATCCCATTTTGGGCACTACATTTCTGGAAGGTATTGATAAGCTGGAGGCCATCCAAATGGAGGGCGCCTGGGACGATGAAGAGCCTGGAGTCAATGCCATATGAGGGTTTGTTAAAGGAACTAGGGATCCTTAGCCCGCAAAGAGAAGCTCAGCTGGGACACTGTATCTGTCTTCAGTTACTTGAAAGATTGTCATATGGAGTGGGAGGAGGGATTAGACTTGTTCTACTTGGCCCCAGAAGACGAACTAGGAGTGATGGGTGGGAGTTGCAAAGAAGAAAACAGGCTTCGTGTAAGGAAAACTTCCTCATACTTTGAGCTATCTGAAAAGGAAAATAACAAATGCTGGAGGGAATGTGGAAAAATAGATACACTAATACACTTCTGGTGGAATTGTGAACCGCTCCAACCATTCTTGAAAGCAATTTGGAACTATGCCCAAAGAGCTATAAAAATGTGCATACCCTTGGACACAGCAATACCACTACAATTACTGTGTCCCAAAGAGATCAGAGAAAAAGGGAAGGGACTTATATGTACAAAAAGATTTATAGCAGCTCTTTTTGTGGTGGCAAAGAATTGGAAATTGAGGAGATGCTTATCAATTGGGGAATGACTGAACAAATTGTGGTATATGATTGTGAAGAAATATGTTGTGCTAGTAAGAAATGATGAGAGAATGGTTTCAGAAAAACCTGGGAAGACTTATATGAACCAATGCAAAGTAAAGTGAGCAGAACCAAGAAAACATCATATGTAGTAACATTGTAGCAGAAGTATTGTAACAGTGATCATCTGTGAAAGACTTAGCTACTCTGATTGATACAATGATCCCATGACAATTCCAAAAGGCTCATGATGAAAAATGTTAACCACATCCAGAGAGAGAGTTGATGAACTTTAAGGGCAGAATGAAACTTTTTTTAAACTTTGCTTATTTTTCTTGCTTTTTTTGGCAGCATATCTAATATGGAAATATGTTTTGTATGACTTAACATGTGTAATGGATATGATATTGCTTGCCTTTTCAATGGATGGGGATTGGAGAGAGAGAATTTGGAACTCGAAATAAAAACATTAATGTTATAAAAAAGTGATACAATTAGAGCTGTCCCAAAGTGGAATAGACTGAAGGTCATGGGTTCCCCTTCATTGGAGGTCTTCAAGAAAAGGCCAAATGGCCACAGTTGAGGGTAGTGCAGATTGTTTTTCTGTTATAAGTTGGACTGGATGACCTCTGAAAGGTCTCTTCCAATTCTGAAAGTCTGTGATAAGCCCTCTAAGATTATATACAGTCTTTGTAAACCCAGAGCTTCAGTTTGGGACCATGCTGTACTTCAGAGAAGGATGGGTAGGATTTGGGCAAATGAAGGGAATAATGTCAACACAGGTGGGGAAGGAGGAAGTCCCACAGTATGTGTTTAGAGAACTCTGAGTTGTCTGGTTTGGCTAGAAGGAACATGGAGCATATTGTAATGAGAAAGGGCACTGGAAGCAGAGATATGATGAAGATAGCTCTGACTTTGTAGAGCCGGACTGTTAAATTTTCAGTGTGAGCATTTATACCTCAGAAATCCACAGTCTATAAATCAGGGTGTCATTTATTGTTTTGCTTATTGTCTAGACTTAAGAGAGTGTTAACAATGCAGATTAAACATAAAAGAGTGTTTGCATACGGTCCCCTCCCCCTAGTTAAACATTTGCCAGCACCTGCCTGCATTGCTCAATAAACAGAGGGCAGTAGAAGTTTCAGAGGATGAAATCATCACTAGATGGAAGGCCTGATGACTGGATGCTAATTGATGATGATGTGATAATGATGATGATGATGATGATGATGATGATGATGATAGGCATTAATATAGGTTTGCAAAATGCTTTACATCCGTTATCTCATTTGGGTCTCCCAATACCCCCCGGCTGGAAGGTAGAGTAGGGTCAGACTGTGAAGAGTTTAGACTTTTAATTTGTAGGCCCTGAGAAGTCAGGATCAAATATGTGTATTAGGAAGGTGACAAAAGCAGCTTGTGCCTGGCGTGTTGGAGGGGGAGAACAGCGATCTCGGAAAAGGAGAGATTGGGAACTGTGTGACCACCTGCAGTAGTCAGAAGAGAGGTGAGAAGCGCTTGACCTTAAGCTGGACCTCTGGGAGTGAAGCAGAGGAGAGGTGCTGTATTCTGAACACTCAGTAGGTAATTATGCAAATGAGCACTGGAATCTGAGGCCTGGATGATTCCAACTAGCTATTATCCACATTGACAAAGGGTAATTTGTACTAATTGGTAACTAGAAACCCCAAATTAGACTGATTCTCACAACCTTAATTAGCAGCAGTAAAGGGAATATCATTAAGAGGAGGAGTTAGTCTGTGAGAAGAGGATTGAAGTAGAGGCTTCCTCCACCTCTGAGCTAGAAGGTTATGGTTTGTAGATGGCGCACCTTGGGCCCTGAGGTCACCTGTCTCCCCTCCCTCCAGCCACAGGACGGGGCATAGAGTGGAAAGAACACTGGCCCTAGAGTCAGGAGAACTGAGTTCTGGTCCCAGCCCCACCACTTATTAGCCAGGTGATCTTAGACAAGACATTTCTTTCTCTGGGCATTTATTTTTCTCATCTTCAAAATGGGGATAATTCTCTCTGGCCGGCCGACCTCACAGGGTTGTTGTGAGGATCGAAGAAGGGAGTGTACATGAACATGGGAAAGCATGGTTGGCGGAGGAAGGGGGGATTGTGCTAATCCCTGCCCCCCCCCAGCCCTGAAAATAAGAGGGCTGGATCTAGATGATCTCTAAGCTTACTCTGACATTCTGTGTTTTAAATTTCTATGAAATGTTATTATCAAATTAGGGAGTCTGATCAGAGACCTGGAACATTCCACTCCTCTGCCTTTATCAGCAGAGCTACTCCAATCCACAGACATTCTATTTCACTCTTCAACGGTTAGCAGACTCTCTCCTTACTCTTACTTACTTCATCCCTTGATCTGAGTTTTCTACTTCCCAAGAGCAAGCCTGCTGTGGCTCAGTGTCTCATACCTGTCCACCTCAGCCCTACCCCACAATGTCCCACACCTTATCTGCCTGCCCCTTCCTCTGAGCCTCCTGGACTTCCTGATCTGTAATGAACACTTCCCTTCATTCTAGACCTCTTTCTCATATGGGCCTTCCATCTTTCTGCCACTCATAGAGACTGGATGTCCTTATATTGCTGGCTGAACCCTCTGCCAGTACTCCCAGTGACTCAGTGGTTCTAGAGAGAAAGTTTGAGCACCCGTTGCTCTCCATTGCCACTGCCAGACTCTCCATCTATCACTATCACTAAGCAGCTTCTCTCTTTTAAGTTCACTCTACCCAAATTCATCACCGGATTCCAGTCCTTGTGGCTATTAACTGATAACCCTAAGGATGACCCCTTCCCCACACCTCTTTCTTCAAGAGTTCAGTGTGTGGCTCATTGTTTCTCTGTCCATTTCAGCTCTTATCTTCATACTAGGCTATCAACATACATGTTGATGTTCACTCCAGTACTCTGACATTCCAGTCCATCAGTCCGTTCAACTCCCATGACCAACTTCTCCACTCATTCTACCTCAGCTACAGTGAAAGGTGGTCACCTTGTCATCACCCATAAGTATTCTACCCCTCCCCCATCAAGAACCCCGAAATTCCTTTGTCTGGTCATAATTTATCATTCCATGTCTCCCTGTGCCTTACTCCTTATGAACCTGTAACATTCTTCATTCTTATGGTGACCACCAATCCCTCCACCTCTCAGTGCCATCATTCTCTGCCCTTCCTAAGACAGACCTGTTAATGAACCATCTCAACTCTACACCATCTTATACTCTTGAATCCTTTGTGTCTTTGTCTTATCAATGCTCATGCCTTGCCAAAGCCCAGCTCCAGATTCCTCACCTGATTTGTCTTTTCTGTTCTACTCATGAGCTATTGAACAGAGCTGACAGAAGCCAGGCAAGTGTGCTGACTGGGTCCTTTGGCATAGGAAGGCAATCCTTTTATTCCTTTCTGATAACTAATTCTTTGTTCTACTTTCCACAATCACTGTTCCAAGCTTTTTCTTCTCTCTTTATCCTCCCAGAGCACACCTCTACCTACCCTCTCAGCTGAGGACCTCACCTCATATTTTACCGAGACAATTGAGATCACTTCCTGGAGTTTGCTCTTCTCACCTCTCTCATTTTGTCATGCCTTGAAATCATTCTGCCACCTCCCCCCCAATATCCTCCTTACTTTATTCTCTAATGATGAGATGGCCCATCTTAACAAGGCCAACTCAACATGTATCCTTGATCCCATCCTCTCTGATCTTCGCTAGCAGATTCCCCCCCCCCCCGGCATCACTTCTCTCTAATCTTCAATTTCTCTCTATTTTTGGGAGAAATCTTCCATTTCTACCTATTAAAACGTCTCCTTGCTGCCTGCCTACAAACACACTGAGATCTCCTTAATCCTTAAAAACACCTTCTAGAGTCTTCCATTCTCCCAAGTATTATCCTGTATCTCCCCTCCTTTCCTGAGCCAAACTCTTTGAAGAAGCTACCCATTCTCCTTGCCTTCACTTCTTCTCCCCTTACTGTTTTCTAAATCCTCTGCAATCTGGCTTTTAACCTCATCATTCAATTACAACTGCTGGTGACTGGTGACCACCCTCTCTTCCAGGATACTCTATCCTCTGGAGTTTTTGTGACACACCGCTCTAACCTGGTTCTTCTCCTGTTTGTCTGACAACTTCTTTTCAGTCTCCTTTTCTGCATCATCATTCATGCTCAGTTCACTTACTGTGGATGTTCTCCAGGGCTCTGTCCTGAGCCTTATCTTTTCTCTCCAGATGCTGTTAGTTCTTGACCTCATGAGTTCCCACGGGTTTCATTATCATCTCATGCTCGATGTTCTTCAGCCTGACTCTCCTGAACTCCAGTCCCACATCACCAACCACCTGTTGGACATTTCAAATCACATGTCTTGTTAAGAATCTCAAACTCAGCTTGCCCCAAATAGAACTTGCTGTCTTCCCCCCCACCCAAACCTATCCATCTTCTGAACTTCTGTGTTACTACTGAAGATACCACCATCCTCCCAGTCATCCAGGTTCAAAAGTCTCTGTGTCTTTCTCAGTTCCTCCCTCTCACATCATCCCATCTATCAAATCAGTTACCAGATCGTGTCAACTCTTTCTCCACCATATTTCCCCCATGTGTCCTCTTCTCTCCAATCACCCAGACCCCCCCCCACTTCCTCCCAGTTTAGGCCCTCATGACCTCATACCTGAACCATTATTGCAATAGCACCCTCCTGACCAGCCCAGCCTGAAGTCTCCCCTCATTCAAATCTACTCTCCATACAGCTATCAAAGCAATTCTTCTGAAGTGTAGATCTAACCATGTTACTCCCCTATTAAGTAAAAACCTTATATCTCTAGGATCCTATATAAATTTACCTGTTGGACATTTGGATCTCTTCACCACCAGGCCCCCTCCTACTCATCCTGACTCATAAGGCCATAGCTTTCTTGCTGTTACTTACATGCTTCACATTCCTTTGCTTTGGCAACTCTTCCCTGGCAGTGAAGTGTTCTCTGTCCTCACTTCCACTTGTTGGAATGCCTGGTTCTCTTCCAGACTCAGCTGAAGCATGCCATCTACATGAAGCCTTTCCTGACTTCCTGTCCTGCTAGTCTTCCTTTTGGACATATTTTGTATGTGGTCACATGTATATAAATTGTCTGTTAAAATATAAGGCCCTTGAGGGCAGGGACTGTTTCACGATTTGTCTTTATATCCCTCACACCTGGCATAATGTCTTGCACATTCTCAGAGTTTAATAATTGGCTTGTTGATGGACTGATATGAGGTTATGATGGTTCAGGGTATCATTCTGTTTTCTCAAGCCCCAAAGGGCAGGAAAACTCACTTTGATAAGGCTACCCTTGGTTTGAGTACTGGACTGGGCGTCAGAAGCCCTGGGTTTTAGTACATACTCTGACATTTACGAGAAATGTGGTTTCGGGGGGGAGCACCTGCAGTAGTGGCAATGGCAGAGGAAGAACACACCTCCCGCCTTCAAGTCCTTCCTCCTCTTTGAGGGAGAGAAGATTACTACTAATAAAGACACCAAAGTTCCCAATGCCTGTTTGTTTACCATTAACAAGGAGGACCACACACTAGGAAACATCATCAAATCGTAGTTACTAAAAGATCCACAGGTGCTGTTTGCAGGCTATAAAGTCCCCCACCCCCGGAACACAAAATCATCATTCGTGTAGAGACCGCTCCAGATTACAACCCTCAGGAAGCTTTCACTAACGTCATCACAGATCTGACCAGAGAGCTCTCCTTGTTGGAGGAGCAATTCTGGGTCACTATCAAAGACAAACAAGAAGGAATTGAATAGTTCTTGGTGGCTTCCCCATGCAGTTTCCATAGGATTAGGAGCACAGAAACTCTTCCTCCCCTTTGATATCCAATTGGTATGAAAAGCTGAATGGAGGAAACCTTGTTATTGCTTTTCTTTTCGGTGTACAACTCTTAAATCATAAAATATATTTTTGTTTAAAAAAAAGAAATGTAGTGTCCCCAAAAAAGTTATGTAGAACCTCAGCCTTCTCTTCTAAAATAGGGATAATATAATTCCATTCCACCTTCCAGGATGGTTATGAGGATCAAATAAGACAGTGGATGGGAATGTGTAACAGTAAAATGCTCTATACATGTAAGTGATTATTGTTAATAAGGGGCACGAAGTGACATTTGGGGCCTTGGAAAGGCCCCATCCCTGGCTACCCTTAATGACATCGATGTCAGTTTTCCAGGAAAGCTATTTAAATCCAGCTGTCATCCTGAATAATTTCATCTTACTCCATCCCACTCCCCATTGACCATAGTCAATTGAGTTGAGTTCAGGGATTGCAAGCACATTTTAAGAACAAACTTTACTTAGTAAATCTCTTGTCATTTACTTCAAAGACATTAAAAGTGAATTGAATGCTGTTTGGGTAATGGAGCACTGATTGATAATCACACCTTCTGTTTCTGGGGCACTTTGCACAGGGCAGTGCATTGAGGGAGGGAAGCAGGGACATAAGAGCCTATTCAACTTAAGTCAGGATCCCAAGGCTTGCTCAGGACCCAGCATCTTAGGGCCTCCAGCCAGGATGGCAGGTGGGCTTGGGTTGGGAAAAGGAAAAGAACAAATGAACAAAGTACTAAAGGAGTGGTTTTTCCCAACTAGGGAGGAATGAAATTTTATCTATCTGTATATATATGTGTGTGTGTGTGTGTGTGTGTGTGTGTGTGTGTGTACATGTGTATGCACACACATGTACATATACATATACACTGACACGCACTCAGGGTGTTTTTAAGTGCATTTTGTGTGCTCTCAAGGAGTTCATGTTCAAAGTTGTAGATTGAAAGGCCTCATGGTCCTGAGGACTTAGCAGCAAAGTAGATGGTACTATATATTCTTTCTTTTTAAAATAAGTTTTTACTGATGTATTCTGTTTTTTATGTTATCATAGTTTTCCCCAATATCCCTCTCTTCCTCTCCCAGTGAGCCATCCCATATAACAAATAGTATCTTTATCTTTTCTTTAATGTTATTTCCACTGATAAAACCCTATCCATTTCTGATGCTGAACCATTTGTCAATGCCAAGGACTTTCTCTTCTTGGTCTTCAGTAGCTGTGGCTGCTGAGGCAGGGGCTGTAGAAGCCATTTTCAGGTCACATCTACACGAGAGCTGTTTCCCTGGATGATGGCTACAGGGGTAGACTGGAAGCAGGGCTGGTAGTTTGGGGTGGTATTCCTGTTCCTGGGACTCTTGGACTCAGAATCTTGAGCTGCCTTTATTGAGCTTTAAGGGGATGTACTGGTCAAGATGTGGAATGTAGGGGCAGCTAGGTGGTACAGTGGATAGAGTGCCAGGCCTAGAGTCAGGAAGACTCATCTTCCTGAGTTCAAATCTGGCCTCAGATACTAACTGTGTGACCCTGGGCAAATCACTTAACCTTGTTTATCTCAGTTTCCTCATCTGTAAAAATGGTGGAGAAGGAAGTGGCAAATCACTCCAATATCTCTGCCAAGAAAACCCCAAATGGGGTCATGAAGAGTCAGACATGATTGAAAATAACTTAACCACAACAAAGTGGTCAAGACGGTGGTGGTGAGAGTTTAACTTGCCAGGAATATACTGCACATCCCTCCCTCAGGGTGCCTTGCTAAATCAGTTAGGCCTGCCTACTTGTTTGCTGGTTAGCAATGACTGATAAGGGTGGTTGGCACCTTCCCTGCAGGAGTTACGCCCCTGGCTTGACGGCTGTTCAGATCAGAATGGAAGGAGAGCCGGGGCTCTGGGAGATGTAGTTGTTCCTTGAATTCTTGAGCTTACCTGCTAGGTGATGGCACTTGGTCAGCAATTGTGGGTGATGACGAGGATGGCGGGGCCATTCTCTATAGGAATCATTCCCCTGGTGATGGCTGTGAGGCCCAGGCTGGAAGTAGGATTGGTGATACATTCACACATGCAGTTTTTTAATCTATTAAAGCTTACAGCTGCACTAAGACTTTTGGGACACCCTGTTTGTGTATGCACACACACACACACACACACACACACACACACACATACACATACTCTCTCTCTCTCTCTCTCTCTCTCTCTCTCACACACACACATTGACATACTCACATGTACAGAACACATATTCACCCACATTCCAGACATTCCTATATACACTGTTCCCTTTAAAGATATAATTAAATATTCTCTTTTCTGCTATTTGTTTTCCTCTCTCCTTTCCCCATCCAGGTGGCCAGGTCCCAGGGAAAGGGCATTTTCCTCTTCCGGAAGCTCAAAGATATCATGGACTGGAGGAAGGTGAGATTTTTTTCTTCCTTTCTCACCTACTGCCAACCTCAGCTCCCCCAAATGAAATATTTCTCCCCTTGCTTCCTGGCTTTGAGATGACCCTGACCATGATCCAGCTGTGCTCTTTGATCCAAAATCTTCACCTTCATGCCTGGGGCCCTGAAAGCTTACTCTTTCATTTTTTCTCTCCCTTGGAGCAATGAGACCTAGGCCAGAGGACCACCATTGTTTCTTACTCTTCCTCTGATGTTCTGTGTGACCTTTGGCAAATCATTGTACCTTTCAAGGTTTCAATTCTCCCCTCTGTAAAATGAAGGGGTTGGAGTAGATGGTCCCTAAGGTTCCTACCCTGTGACATGGCATTGGAAAATCTGCCCTCTTGGCCTTTTTCTAGGAGTGTGGGGGAGGTGGGGAGCAGCAGTGGAAACTGAAGCCAGCAGGGACTGGCATCCCAGGGCAATTGCCCTTCCCTTGCCCTCTAGCCAGAGGCAGGGAGGAACAGTAAGGCTACCATGTTTGGGAGTGCCCCTGATTCCTGGCATAGCAACAAGGCGCTGTTACCAAGAATCCCACAGCCAGGAGCTATCACCAGCCCAGAATGCCAGCAAACCCTGTGGAAGCCATGCGTGTATGGAGGTTGGTAGAGGCAGGTGGACTGGAAGGGGAAGCCCGGGGTGGAACAGGGAACTCCATGTCATAACTCTTCTAGCTTGTTCTGATCATGAAGGAAACAGAAGTTGGGGCTTTGTGTCTGTCAGGACGTGGGCCGCTCTGATGACCAGAAAGATGACATCCCGGTGGAGAACTATGTAGTCCAACGTTACATCGAGAATCCTTATTTGATAGGAGGTAGAGTGGCTCCCTGTGCCCTACCCAACCCTCTCTGACTGGTCAAGCAACAGATATTTACTGGGGACCCTTTCTATGTCCAGCCTGCATTGACAGCTCTGTGCAGTCCAGTCCTGTTGCTGGAGACCTATCTCTGGTCACATCAGTGGTATCATTTTGGGGCATAATGTTATAGAAAGAGCACTAGTCTTCTCCAAAGAACTGAGATGAGTCTTAGCCCTGACACTTACTCCCTGCATGAACCTGAAGAAGTCAATTTTCTGATTCTTAGTTCTGTATCAGTAAAATGGGGAGAATATTTGTGCTACCTACCTCACCTGGTTGTTGGGAAGAGGACACTTTGCAAACCTTAAAGGCCCTGCTGACATAAGTTGTCCATCTACATGGACTGCCCCTCATCATAATCATTTCACATCTCTCACTCAGCACCATGTTCCTTCAGGTAGACACTACCTTCCCGCATCATCACTACCACCATCCAAGAAGGCTTCACGGGGACATGGGGCAAATAGAAAGACAAAGGTGAAGGGAAAAAAGAAGGAAGGAGACCCAAGTACTGGTGTGTGGTGTGTGTGTGTGTGTGTGTGTGTGTGTGGAGAGAGAGAGAGAGAGAGAGAGAGAGAGAGAGAGAGAGAGAGAGAGAGAGAGAGGGAAGAGGAGAGAAAAAGAGGAGAAGAGAGAGAGAGAAAGAGGAAGGGGGGGAGAGAGAGAGAGAGGGAGAGAGAGACAGAGGGAGGGAGGGAAGAAGAGAGAAAAAGAGAAGAAGAGAGAGAGAGAAAGAGGAAGGAGGGGGGGAGAGGGAGAGAGAGAGAGATTGAGAGAGAGAGATTGAGATTTACTGAGGTAGTAAATAACACACAGCCAAGAGTCAAACCCAAAGCTGGTACTACAAAGATAGCACTTGATGGAGAGCAGGGATTCTTAACCTTTTTTGTGTCATGCACCCCTTCTCAGAATAATATTTTTTTAAAAATAAAAATAACCATTTATAATTGGAGAAAATGCCAAAGTTAAGTTGGAAGTTAAAGAAAATAAAGATGTGATGTCCCCCCCCCTTCAAGTTCATAGATAACCTGAGAGCTATCCATGGTCCCCAAGGTAATAACCCCTGCCCTAAAGGGCTGCTTACGTTAATCCATCCTCAGAGTTATTTTCAGAGGTTGCTTCTCTCTGGCTGCATATTGGGAGAGTAAGACTTTATTGTTTTCAGTACCCCAAGGAACTACCCCACTTTCTCCTCCCCGTGTCTGTCAGTCTCGTCCTACTAGAATGTAAGCTCTTTGAGGGAAAAGATGGGGTCATCTTGTCTTTGTCCCTTCATCTCTCTAGCATGGAGTACAGTGCCTTCCTTCCAGATGGATTGTTTGTTGAATTGATTGGAGGTGTGAGTTCTGTGTGTATAGCTCTTGGGCTAAGGCAGCCGCTGGTGGCAACAACAGTAAACTTTATTAAGCTCTTACTGTGGAGCAAACATCAGTCCTTGAATTCTCCTTATGGAGAATCAATTATCTTGTCTTCTTGGACAAGATAATTTCTCCTGTTGCTTCAGTAATCTGTATACTCTTCTGGGTTGGTTGCATCAGGAATAAATTGGTAGCCTGATTCCTTTTCCCCCCTAAATATTGTTTGTATCTAATTTTCAAAAATTAAAAATTTTTAAATGTTTTTAAAAATCTGATTTAAAAAAATCTGTTTTTGCATTGCAGTCAGTCCTTTCCAGATATATCTCCCCCACCCCCAATGAGCCTTCTCTTCTAGCAAAAAAAAAATTTAAGCCAAATCAATCAATAGTGCAACCATATGTGGTAGGAGTGACCTGACTTCTGCTTGAGGTTCTTTGTTCTGAAATGCTATCTTCCTCCACCAGGAGAGGGAATAGTGGGTGGGAGAAGTGTGGCACTAATAGTTGAAACTGTTGTTTTAAAAGAAATGGAAATGACAAATCATGTGTAAGTAGCACCTGTGCTTTGAGTTGTGGCTTCAGCAGTGGAGATGGGCATATTGAACCATCCATACTCTGCTTTTATTGCCATTGAGAGAAGAGCATGATACTTGTGAGCCAGTTGACTTGGATTAAGGGTACAGCGTGACAGGCTCTCTGTGTGACACTAATTGGCTTAGGATGGGGATGGAAACAAAAAGGTGACTTATACCTAACATTAGTTCTCTGCTCCATAGGGCGCAAATTTGACCTGCGAGTATATGTCCTGGTGATGTCCGTAAGTAACTAAATTCAATGGCTGCTGGAGGGAGGTGGTTTGAGTTTGGGCATCAGCCCTGGTGACCTGAGTGAGCTTTCTTGTCTAGTTTTATTATAAACCAAGGAAGTAAGTTGAAAAACCAGAGGGAGGCACATTCATAAACTTTCCAGGGGATGGGAACACATTTTTCTCTGACCTGACCCCTAGGTCTCCCTTCTTTGCCCCCTTCACCTTTCCCCACTCTCTCTTCCTTGATTCTTTCCTCCTTTTTCCTGGTATGTCTGCCTTCCCTCATTTCTCCCTCCATTCTTCTCTTTGCCCTCCTTCTTCTATTTTCCATCTTTCTCCAATACTTTCTCCTACACTGTTTCTCTCCCACTATCTTGTTTCTCCCCTTCTCTCCACCCCAACTGTTTTCCTCTTCTTCCCTCACTGTCTCTTCCTCTCCCATCTCTCCTTACTATCTCTTCTCTTCATCTGTTCTGTGTCTCTCCATTCCTTCTTCCCTCCCTTCCCTCAATCCTTCTCCTGCCTCCCTGTGTCTTCCTCCCTCTTTCTGGCTTTTCTGGCTTCTCTTCAACAGTACATCCCCCTTCGAGCCTGGTTATATCGAGATGGCTTCGTTCGGTTCTCTAACACCCGCTTCACATTGAGCAGTATTGATGATCACTGTATCCTCAACAAACACTGGTGAAGTAACTGTTTGGAATGCTGAGTAACAGCACTATAATATACAAAGACAGAGGCCTCGTCATCAAGAAGCTTATGTTCTGCTATGGATATATGCTTACACATAAGTAAATTCAAAGTTTGAAGAGAGAATATTAACAACTGGGGAGAGGGGGATGAAGAAAAACTTCAGAGAGAAGATGGCATGTGAACTGAGCCTTCAAAAATTCTGAGAAGTGGATGTGAGGGAGTATATTCTGGGCATGGGGAGAGGTAGGAGAGGACTAGCTGGTGCAAATGAACCCATGCATCTGGGATGGCTTACACAGTTACAGAGAGGTTGGATATGAAAAGCTGAGTTTGAGAGCTCAACATTGCTAATAGACTAATTTGCTGGAATGTGGATGAATGAAGGAGAATGTGAAACAAGGCTAGAAAGGTAGGTTATAGCCAGGTTGTGGAGGGCCTTAAACACCAGGCTTGAGAAGTTTGTATTTGTCACAGGAACAATAGGGAATCAGGGAGGGTTTTTTGAATAGGGGAGTGATAATGGCTAGACCTGTGTCATGGGAAGTTCATCTGGTCAGTGTGTGGAAAGTGGATTAGAGAGGGAAAACTAGAAACGGGAAGACTATATAGGGGCTGCATTACAGTGGTTCTAGTGTAAGGACAGATGAGGGCCTGAACTAAGATAGTGACTTTGTGAGTGGAGAGAAAGGATGGATGCTAGAGATATTTTGAAGGTGTAGAATAGGAAATACTTAACTACTGATTGTGCATGGGAGATACTGTATTGGAGATGGGAGTCGAGGATGATTCTGAGGTTATGAACCTGAGTGATTGGGAAGATGAAGTGCCCTTAACAGAAATAGGGAAGTTTGGAAGAGGAATTTAGGAGGAAAGATCATCAGCTCTGTTTTAGCCATGTTGAGTTTGAGGAACCAACCTCAAAGGAACCTCAAAAGGTAGGGCTATAGAACAGGCCTTTGGAGATGCAACATTGGTATTCAGGAGAGAGATTAAGATTAGGTACAGTAGACTGGGCGAATCTCCTCCTAAACAATGTTCTGCCATCCTCTGTGTTCCTTGGCCTATGTTCTTTCCTTTTCCTAATTTAAATTCTAGTCCATGGGCTTCTAGTGGGCTTCCCATCTTGGAAGAGCTCTGGACCTGTGGGCACAGAATCAGAGAACCTCCGAGGTAACCAGAAAGGACCTCAGAAGCCATCTAATCCAGCCTGGACCTGACCAAGAATCTCTTCTACAGCATCTTTGGAGATGTCCAGCCTCTGACTAGAGACTTCCAGCACCTAATACAATGCTTATGGCATTTAAAGTTTGTAGAATTGAAGTGAATGAGAGGGAGCCCACGGCTTCTCTGGCTTTATAAGATTCTGAGATTCTAAGTGCAACTTCTTTCCTATCTTCATCCTGGGATGAAGGATGGAAAAACTTGCCACTAAGATAAAGTTGGGAGGCTTGGGGACATGGGTAGCTCCCTGCCCAGTTGTGAAGGGAAGGATTTCTTAGCTTCTTGTCCTAGACCTTGACTGCTGACCTGTCAGATGTTCACCTCACCAACGTTGCTGTGCAGAAGACATCCCCAGACTATGACCCCGAAAAGGTGAGCAAGCAGCAGTAACTGCCATCCCTACCCGGGGCATGGACAAAGACAAACATCCTGGGGGCCAGGGTCCTGGAAGCAAGGCTTCTTGGGCTATTGCATCCTTGCTAACCAACATCTGAAGCCTTGGGGGACTTGGGGCAGGGGGCTAACAGGCAGTCCATTCTACTGGATGGCTCTGTTGGGGTGCACTCTTGAGAGGAACAGAGCCTGAAGGCAGGAAAGGTTCCAGGCTAGACTCCTGACCCACCTAAGGGATTTGGCCCACTTATTTTCTGCCCTGCCTTACTTGTCCTTTCCTGGCTGGCCCCAAAGCTATTGGAGTAAAAAACCTGCTATCTCTCCTGCTGCCACTGGATGGCCTTTGGTTTGGTTTTCATCCTATGTAGGAATATAGATTTCAAGATTAAAAGCACCTCTAAGGCTGTCTAGTCCAAATCTCTCATTTTACAAATGAGGACCCTGAGGCTTAGTGAAGTTGTGATTTGTCCAAGGTCACAGGCAACGATAGATGTGTCATTCGAACCCAGGGCCTCTGACTCCAAATCCAGCACTCTCTCTCTCTGTCTCTCTTTCCCTCCTTTCTCCATTGCACCATGCTTCTCCTCCTCCTTAGTTCATCGAGAGGTTTGTGTTTTTCTTTGCAAAGGGGCTTCACTAGCACTGAAAAGAAGTGAAATAAAAACCCAACACCTATAGATCTGCTACAGATTCCTCCAACTGCTGAGTGAGCTGAGCCAGTGAGTCTTATATAGACACTTGTCATGTGGCCCTACAGGCCAGTCCAGCTTCCTAGCAAATGGGCCCAGGAAGGCCTACTCACCTTGCAGAAAAAACACCCGGACACAAAGCTGCTCCCCAGCCTAGGTTCTTGGGCTCTTCCATTCAGAGCTATGTGGGCCCCTCTTGGTCTCTTGACAAGGCTTTAGCCAGACTGATCCATCACAGCCTACCTCTCCCAACCAGGAAAGTGTCAGTAGGCCTACAATGCCATATGCCCACAGTGATGTCCAGCTATTCTCACATGAAGTTATACCCACATATAACTCCCTACCACAGTAAAGGAAGGGGTTAAGAGTCTCAGAAGACATGGGTTCAGCTCTCAGTTCTACTCCTAACTTCCTGTGCTTGCTTCTCATCTGTCAAACTGGATGATTTTCAAAGTCTTCCTCAGCCTCAAAATTCTGTGATCTGTGGGTTATTTTTTCTTAGAGTCTGTACAGACCCCTATAAACAGCTGTTACTTCTGAGCTTTATACTTTGACCAGTGATGGACAGGCAAGAGTGTTAAGATACTGAGCCTAGGTGATGGACTTTTTCATACTCAAACCTTGAGAGGAGAAAAAGAATGAGGAAGAGACTGTCTGCCAGGACCCCGGGGATCATCTAGTTCAACCAATAAATGAGGGCCCAAGAGACTCAGTCTTACCATGGAACCAAAAAGAAAGGTTTCATTGTCTCTGATTATAAGCTCCCAGAAGGTAGGACCTGTGTCTGGGAAAAGCTAGACAATGACTTATCAGCACAACAGAACTGAAATGGAATTTTCTGGTTAAGTGAGGCATAAGCAGAAGCTCTGTGCCTGAGATTACTCTGTTACTATGAACTCTCCCACAGAGATAGAGGTGGGACTAGTCGTGATTTGAACCGAGAATACCTCTTGAAAGTTGGTTGTATGTTAAACCCTAATATGCTCACTTAACAGTCATTTGGCTCTTGCGGCTGACAATTCAGGACCTCCCAAATAATCCCAGGTATTCCAAGACAGTATGGTGCAGTGGAAAGGGCTCTGGAGTGAGAGTCAGAGGACCCAGGTTCAAATCCAGACTCTGCTAATTGCTGCCTTTGTGACTGAGGCAGACATTTCACATCTCTGGGCCTCAAGTATCTCCTCTATAAAATGATGGGGGTGGGATGGGGTCGGACTAGCTCTAAATCTTTCCTATGTCCCCTGATCCCTGTGAGTTAAGTACAGGTTATTGAGGCCTGAGGTTCTTTCCATTCACCCCATGATTCTGTGGCAGGGCTGCAAATGGATGATCCAGCGATTTCGCCAGTACCTGACTTCCAAGCATGGCCCTGAGGCCGTGGAGACACTCTTCCGGGACATAGGACAACATCTTCATCAAAAGCCTGCAAAGTGTGCAGAAAGTCATCATCAGTGACAAGCACTGCTTTGAGCTATATGGCTATGACATTCTCATCGACCAGGACCTCAAACCGTAAGGGGCTTGTTGTGGGCAGGGACAGCCTGCTCTCTGGAATGGCCCATTCTGTGGGGCTAGCCCCTTGCTTAGGGTGCTCTGTACACAGAGTGGACCATTCCTGAGGAAGACCTGTTCCACAGTTCAATTCAAGTTCATTTGAGCTAAGTGACCTATTTCACAGAGTGATCCATCCTATAGAAAGGCCTCTTCTTAGGGCAGGACATTTTATAGGTTACAGGATGCTGCTTTGGACTGCTACCAGTCCAAAGATAAGATCTGTCTGGCTCCAACCAAACCTGTGTCTGCAGAGCCTCTCTTAGTAGGCCATGTGTCATGAAGCTTGGAGGAAAATCCTTACTGTGTTCCAACTGTCCCCATACCCAAAGAACACCACACACCAGTCCCCAACAATTGCCGACTACAACACGGCCTTCTCCATTCAGAGTCAAAAGAAGGTGGGAAAACACCTGGCTTAGATCACAAGCTAAGTAAGGGGTACAAAAGAATATCCAGATAAGGCAACCCGCAATACACATTCCAAACATATGAAAATTTAGATCTAGAGACTCAGAGACCTTGAGACAATCACTGAAGCAACACAGTGTGGAATGGGTCTGGCCTGGGTTCTAGCCTTGATGTGCCATGATTTCCTGTGTAATCTTAAACAAGCACTTTTCCTTCTGTGCACCTCAGTTTAATCCTCACTAAAATGGGGATCACAAGGCTTCAAATAATCCTGAGGATAAAATGTTCATAGACATTGAAAGTGCTTAAGGAGCCATACAAAGGGTCTGTTATCATCATCGAGACAAATGTTGCTGATTTCTCCCTGAAGCAGAAGGGCTTTCATTTTTTTCCCAATGATCCAGGTTGAGAATAAACCAGGAGTTTCATCTGGAGTTACCTGGCATCTTACTATGAAGCTGAGAGATCACCAACCCTCCTTTCTCCTAATCTTCAGGTGGCTTCTTGAGGTCAATGCCTCCCCATCCCTTGCTGCCAGCAGCCAAGAGGACTATCACCTCAAGACTTGCCTTCTGGAAGACACACTGCACATTGTAGACATGGAGACCAGGTGGGATTACTGATGCCAACCTAAAGAGCCCTTTAAGTATATGAAACCTTGATTTACATAAAATAATAACTGAATTCTTGAAGACAGTATCATTTTCTAGCTCTCCTGACTCCCACCCTCGCCAATGCCCTTCTGGGTCCATTTCCTCCTTCTTTGATCTCTTTGGGGTATAGAACTAGTAATGATATTGAAAAGGTATATATATAATTTAATACCTTTTTGGGCATAGTTCCAAACTGTTTCCCAGAATGACTGGACCAGTTCATAGTTCTACCAACAGTGCATTGGGTATACCTGTCCTCCCACAATCCCTCCAGCATTTGTCATTTTCCTTTTCTGTCATCTTAGCCAATTTTATAGGTGTAAGGTGCTACTTCGAAGCTATTTTAATTTGTATTTTTCTAATTATTATAATTCAGTATTTTTAAAATGTGACTTACTCAACTTTTCAAGAACCTAGAACATAGTTGTCTTGTAAATCAAGGTACTCCTCACCTATGGGTGCCAACTGGAGCTATTTTTCTTTTCGCCTCAGTTTCTCTTTATCAGATTTCTATCTTAACAACTGAGAAAGAGTTGAGTTTTTTTTATTTTTCAATTTTTTATTAATGTATTTTTAGTTTGACATTCACTTCCACAAGGTTTTGAGTTCCAAATTTTCTTCCCATCTTGTCCCTCCCCCCACCCCAACATGTCATGCATTCTGAATACCCTTTCCCCTAATCTGCCCTCCCTTCCATCTCTCCCCTCCTTCTGGAGCTTTTTTCTTAACCAGACCTAGCTGTGATTTTATTGTAGAGAGCTCTTGGAGAGCTCTCTGATGCAGATCAGCATCTTCTCTGTAATTTATGGTCTTAAGAGAGTTAGGAGGATGAAGGGAAGGTTAAATGACTTGCCTAGCATCAACATAGCAAATATTTGACAGTCAGGACTCAAACCAGGGTCTTCCTGACTCTGAGGGAAGCTCTCTGTTCATTATGTCTCACTGCCTCTCAACAGAAGATAAACTGTAGAGAAAATGAGGTTGATAGAAGCCCTTATCCCCAATCTCCCAAGGCAGACCTAACCAACACATTTTTTTTCCTACTGAGGAAAGAGTAATTGTTGGTGAGGAATAGCTTAATAGAGAAGTTTGGAGAAGACATGTGCCAGGCACTGTTCTAAGCAAGCACTGGGGATGTGAACAAGGCAATGGCTGCTTTCAGGGAGCTCACTATCTAGTGGGGGAGGACAGCACACAAAAGGAAGCTGGCGAGCGGGGGGTGGGGGAGTGGCATTAGGTACCTACCTTGGGGCATGACGGAGAAATCCAGAACGCTAGGAAGGATCCTGGGGTCTTGGAGCTGGAAGGTGCCTCAGAGACCATCCAGTCCAGCCCCTTCATTTCCCAAATGGGGAATCTGAGGTGCAGAGAAAGAAACTTGCTTGCCTCAGGTCTAAGGGGAACAAGCTGGAATATGAACCCAAAGCCACTGACTCCAGATCCATTCCCTTCAAAGGCCTCAGGCTGGACTCCTCCCAGAACAAAGGAGTAGCCGACAGACCTAGCTAAGGTCTTCAGATCTGTCCTTGGCCAAGACAGACATATGTTGGTCATCAGTTACTTCAGGGCTTCGTCCCTCTTTGGGTCAAGGCCAGAAACACACAGTGGCTGAGATTCTTGTGGAGATCTCTATACCAATAATCAAAATGATGATAATCCCTTTCATGCAATTTACAAAGCACTGTCTTACACGTACACACAGCAGCCATGGGAGTCGGGGAGGGCTTTACTGGAGCAAACAGGCCCATGGGAGCAAAGTCTGGCAAGTGGTGAAGGTGGAACTCAAAGCCAGTAATGAGTGCAGTGTGGCATGCGAAGGTACTGCATCAGAAGAGCTGGGTATGAGCCCAGACTTTGTCACCCTAGGCAAATCACTTCCGTGCCTCTATTTTTTAATCTGTAAAATGGGGGTAATAATATTTAGACTAAAAGGCAACTATCTCAGTGAGTCTGGAAGACCTGGGCTCAAATGCTGCTTCTGACAAATACTGGCCCCCAGGTAGCTCTTTAAGGCTGTTTGTTACAGATGAGGGTATGTATGATCAGCACTGGAGAAGGGAGTTTCCAGATGGTAAGTTCCCTACATCAAACAGCAATGGAATCATAGGTGTGGGTCTCCCTGCCCCCTACCTCCATGGTCATCAGAAAAAATGTGTTTTTACTCCCTATCACATATGATTATTATGAGGAGCAAATGAGATAATAGATATGGAGTGCCTCTGAAATCCTAAAATGCTAGAGATGTTAGTTATTGGGTTGTTAACTATGAGCCCAGTGTTTTCTCCTCAAACTTCACCCCACCACAGCTTTTTTATAGCTTTCACCTCTTTGAGACAGGACTATGTACAGTCCAATTGAGTCAGAAAACTTGGGCCCAAGTTCTGGTTCTGCCACATTGTTACTTTGTAACCATGAGCAAATTGTTTGGCCTCTGAGCTTCAGCTGACTTCTCTGTAAAATGGGGATAAAAACCCTTAAACCAGTGACCTCCCAGGGTCTATCATTTATACAAGTGCTAGTCCCTGAGAAGTTCGGCTAGTGCCTCCTCCACAAGGCTTCCCTTGTCAGAGGGCTGCATCTCTGTGCCTTCCCCCTAGGCTCACAGGAAAGGAAAAGCGAGTTGGCGGCTTTGACCTCATGTGGAATGATGGACCAGTCAGCAGAGAAGAAGAGGGCATCGACACGTCTGGGACTGGGAACCTTGTGGCCAACACCCACCTGGGTACGTGGGGCTCCTCAGCGGGTTGTATTCCCAGCCTGGCACCATCAGCACAGAGAAACACAAGCGGTGGTGGTGGGGACTTGAGTGGAAAAACCATCAGACTTGACATTTCCACTACCTGTCAGTCAGTAGTGAGTCACTGGCTTTTCAGTCAGTAAGTGCATAGCTCTTTAGACAACACTCCTTTGTCCCCATCAGAATTGTTCTCTCATTTTTTTATAATCTCCTTAATGAGTTTTCCCCTCATGCTGGGCTAATTGCTACCTTTTAGAACTTCAGTCCATGGGAACCTACCTCTCCCTGCTCTGAAGCCCTTTGTATCAGCTCTCCCCAGATCTGAGGCCCACATCAAACTGCTTGTTTTCTTCTTCATTCTAAACTCTTAAGAGCAAGCAGGAATGGCTCCATGGGTTTCCAATCAGGTGAAGTCTGAGGGGGAAAGATCATGAGGATGAGGACACACTCAGGGAAGGCTTCCTGAAGATGGTGTTTAGATTGGGTCACAAAAGTCTGGGTGGTGGTGGTGGGGGTCACTTTCCATGTGCATGGGGCAGAGGCATGTAATGGGACAAGTGTGAGATGTGACAGATAATCCAGATGGGTTAGAGCACAGGCCCATGGATGGGAAGAGTGTGAAAGAGGGCCCAGAAAGCAGACTGATCACACACTGTGAAGGGCCTTAAAAACCAGGTCAAGAGCTTGAACTTGATTTGGTGTTAACAGCTTACACTTCTTTAGCACTTCACTTTTCAATGCATTTTCCTGGAAATTTCCTTGAGGATAATATGAGGTAGAGCAGGGGAAAAAGTGCTGGTCTTAGACCCAGAACACATTCCATGGGCAAACCACTTCTTTCCAGGCCTGTTTCCTCAACTATCAGATGTGGGTAGTAATGATTGCACTCTACCCTGAAGAGATCATGGGGCACATTTGTAAACCTTTAAGTACTATATGGGCTGTTCATATTTCTACGTGACAAGGAAAATGAAGCTGGCCCACAGCCATGCTCTTCTCCCTACCAGCTCCAGGTCACCCAGCCAGTATCAGGGGGTCCTGATAGCACCCCTACTCTTGCTTTTATTTTAGGCTGCAACAATGATCGAAAGAAACAGCTGAGGCAGCTCTTCCGCTCACTTCACAGCCAGACAAAAGCTACCAGCTAATCATGGTGGGCCAGGGGGAGACTGAGCCCAAGCAGGTGCCTAGTGACCCCTCCCAATTTTGGAGCAGTGCCTCCAGTTTCTTTCAGGCCTGCCAACAGTTTTGCTGGCTCAGCATGTCACCAACCATCAGCCTCCTGGACTTGCTGGCTCCAGGGTGTGCTGCGGGTGAAGTGTACTCAGGAGTTGTGCCAGTCTGGGTTAGTCTGCATTGGTTCTGTGATGGGAAACTAAGGATTTGACCTATACAAAGAGAAATGCAGCAAGCCTTGCAGTCCTAGAGAGAACTTTCTTAATAAAAGTAAATCATCATTTGACTTCTTTCTGATCTGGCAAGGATCCTGTTGGCTGAAGCACTGAGCATCACCCATGTATGTTCACAGGGCACTCTTTTTTCCCTCTTTCAGGCAGACAGGCGAGGTCACCCCCATTTTAGAGATGGGGAAAAATCTCAGGGAGGACAAGGGAGTAATTGCCTCCACCGGGTTGCTATGGTGTGAATTCAAAGTTAGAAGATCTCAGTGACAAGACTAGCTCCAACATTTATTAGCTATAGGAATTCAGACAAGTCATTTAACCTCTAGGGCCCGTTTCCTCATCCTCGTGGACCACATGTGACTTCACTGGTGTCAAGAACACCTCTCCACTGAGGAGAGTCCCTTTTCTAATGTGGTCTAACAAGCGCTCTGCAACTCCTCCATGGTCTGAGGGACTTGCCTGGGACCCTGAGAGAATAAGTGACTTACCCAGACTCACAGCCAGCATGGGTCAGAGGTGGGCAGGAACCCAGGCTTTCCTCACTTCAAGGTCAGTTCTTCATGTAATGTCAGGATGCCTCTCTTCACATCTATCCAATGGGACTAACAAAGCAACCAGCCATTTATTATGTACTTTTTTAGGACAGGGCAGTCCTACTTCTAACATACTATGTGACCCCAAGCATGTCATTTATTTAATCACTTTATTATACCCTTACCACATGTGAAGCACTGTGACAGGTGTTAGGGACCTAAGCACAATCCCTCCTAACAAGGATCAGAGTTACAAAAGGGTAACTGATCTGTACTGCAGAATTTGCTTCATCAGAATCACAGATCCAGACCAAAGGGGAATAAAAAATCACGCAAAGCATCATGACAAAAGGTTAAGGGTGACAGATAAATCAGTCTCTTGTCTCCAGCCCTTTATAGCCCATAGGGAGACCCAAGAATGCAGAGAACTATAATACAACACAAACTCAAGTGCTCTGGGAAGGGGCTGAGAAAAGGCTAGTTAAGTAAGGTCCATGAAAGAAACGTCAGAACTGCCAAAGATCAGGAAGGGTTTCATGAGGTCCCAAGGTGAAGTATCTGTGAACCTTTCTGAACCTGTTTCCTTTTCTGTAAAATAGGCATGTGATGGGGGCAGCTAGATGGTGAAGTGGATAGAGCATGGGCCCTGGGGACAGGAGGATCTGAGTTCAAATCCGGCCTCAGACACCTAACATTCACTAGCTGAGTAACTCTGCGCACACACACACACGGCACATAATCCAATATACCTATCTCCTGGACTGCTGGGTGGTTTAGATGATCTAATGCATTTAAAGTACTTTGCCAACTTCAAAGGCCAGTTCTAATCTCCCTTATGCATGGACATAGTATTAACTTTCCAGAATACTTTATAAATCCCGGCATAACTACTCACATCTGTATAGCATTTTAAAGTTTGCAAAGCACTTTCCTGACAACCCTGTGAAGTAGACAATTCAAGTGTCATCGCTATTTGACAGAAAAGAAAATTAAAGAAGGGAAGCGACTGGCTCAGTCACACTCGTGTCAGTGGGAGGCCAAGCCTCTCCTGACTCAAGGTCATGGGGCACTCTCTCTAGCACAACCAATAATGAGGTTGCTGGAGTGGGGAGAAGTGAACCTAAGGAGAGGTGTGAGGTTCTAACAAGAAGGAGTCAATAAAAGATCAGTGCAGCTACTGGCATCATTTCATCAGTTTCAGGAGCCACTGGCTGCATTCCAGGCCTCACCCTTCCTCCCTCCACTCCCAATCTGGCTTAACAGAAAACCACAGCCCCACCTACAACTGCACATTGCTGCATGATTATGTATAGCATACATCTTTCCCTTCAAAGTGATCACGTATTCAAAGTGCAATAGTTTATATGCAAAGTAAATAACAATCTCTAGCAGTGGGATACCACTGATGATCTCACTCTGCAGAAGAGTATACCATTTACAAACGATGGAAGCTGTGTCAGGTATAACAAACACAGATCACAGATACTGCAGATTCCATCCAGGGTTTTTAATTCTGCTCAGTTTTTTTTTATAGCTCTTTGGAAGTTCATTTGATACAGTCCTGTGGCGTGTCCACCTCAAGGAACGGGCTCTGGGAAATTCCATGAAGCTATGGGAGTGTAGATAGGGACACCATTATCAGGGAATGTTCAATGATAAGTTGCCCCTAAGCCCTGCAATTACTGAAGGAACAACTGCCTGGGCAATTCCCCTTTGCCCATGAGAAGTTCAGGAGACAAAGTCTCAGTTGATCTACAAGATATTAACAAAAGTCTATTAAATGCTCTGATGTAATCAGAACTCAAAAAGGACTGAAAAGGGGGAGCTGTTGGGAAATGTGAGCTGTCTTCAGCCCTAGTTGCATGACCTTCGTGGTGAACCACAAATACAGAAGGTTTCCTGTCTATCACAAACCACCATTAAGCTTTGCTGTTCTATTCATACCTGTTATAAACTCACCATCTTCATCCTACAAACTCTCTTCTCCATCTTTTCCCCACAGCCAGGGCAGGGAAGGGAGGGGTTAGACTGGAGTGAAGTGCTCCCTCTCTCCCACTCCCTTCCCCAGACCTAGAACAATAGTCAAACTGTGGGTCTGAGGCAAAGGAAAAAGGCACCCTCCCAGACAGGAGGACATTGTTGGAAGTGCCTGTGGCAGTCATTCTAATGCTCCCACTGCTGCTGCCCCAGCCTCTCATCTTGGATCTTCTCCAAGGAATATCAATAGGCCTGGTGTTTTGGCCCACCCTGGTGGTGTCCTGGGTGGATAATAACAGGCTGTAGGTTCCTGGCCTTAATAGAGCAGCCAAATCCTGTAAACAAAAAGTCTTTAGTAGCAAACTGCTATCTGATAGATTTCTGAAGCTAGTTCCTACTATACCCTAACGCCATGGTTGTGAAGCGGTTCTTCTGTGGACATCTGGGGGTCAATGGTTTAAGTCCCCATGCCAGTCCTTGGTTATAGAACCTCATCCTTTCAAGATGACATTAAGGGCTCTCATCTCCTCCTGGCTCAGGGGCTTCAGGTTAAATCCTTTCAACTCTGGTTTACCTGGGGGAGAAGCAAGTCATCAGGTCAGAGATGTAAGAGTGGTGTGGAGGAGGCAGTCCTATCGCATTCTAGCTGGGAAAGAGAGAGATTACTTGGCTTCTACATACTGTCATGGGAGGGGCTAATGGTCTAATAAGAAAAGCTAAGCAAAAACAGTTTTATGCTAACTAGTCAACAATGATTCCCTCATTTCTCTTGGGTTTTGGAAAGACTCTTAAGGGTTCACAGACTGTTACTTCCCCATTTATCTCAAGGGCTTTCCTGCCCACTCATGTACTTCAATCACTGCCATAGAAGAGGAGCCAGTTTTGGGCTCACCCTGGGTCATAATATGTGCCTTCCCTCACTCCTAGATTCAATTTTTATCATGAGCTAATTCAAATGACTGGTGACCAATCAGAGAGCACAACTCTATGAGGAAACTTTAATGGGACTACAGATTATTGTTGTAGGTAAAGAGTTCAGACTGGCTCAGGCCCTTGGCATATGCCAATCTACTTTGACCCTCTTCTTCACTTTCTGGATGCCTACATTCACTTGTTGTACTCCAACCTCTGACATTCATGCTAAGCTAGGATTTAGGTTTTGGCTTTTCCACTTTTCAGTCCCTACTAAGAAACTACGTACCTTGGGCTTCCAAGAGACGGCTGACCTTCCCTTTCAGCTGTTTCCGGAGTTTCTCTATCTCCTCATCCAGGTGCTCCTGATCTGAAAACAAACAAAAAACAAAAATAGCAGCTAACATTTTCAGAGCATTTTGCAGTTTTAAAAGCACTTTCTTCCCAAATCCTGTGAAGTGGGCAGTGCAAGTAGTATTATTCTTATTTCATAGAGGAAGAAACTAAAGCTGTGGCCAAATGACTTCTTCACAGTCACACAACTACTGACAGTGTCAAGATTCAACTCCAGGTGTCCTGACAAGCCTGTGTATTCTCCAGACAACGCCACACTGCCTGTTAACAGAATGATCTGGAGAAGTGGGAATGAGAGGTCTATTATGCTCTGCCAAGGTCCCAAAGAACAGAAGAAAAAAGGCAGCTGTGTTTGGGGTGGGAGAGGCAACCCAATGCTGCTGCAACCAGGTTTATAAACCTTACTGTTGTCTGAGAGGAAGAGGAGGAACTAGTTGAGCATAAGAATGTGTGAACTATAATGCAAGCTGGGCTGAAACACAGAGAAAGCCATGGACTCATTAAACAAAGCCTGCATACAAACTGCAAGGTGATGATAGGCAAGTGACTTTCCTTAACTCCACCTTTGGAAAAACAAGTGAGTTGGATTAGATAGTCTCTAAAATTGCTTGCAACTTTGACATTTCTATGATTCTTATGATCTGATAGCAAGAGCTTCCTCATTAACACAGAATTTGTCTAGGTACTGCAAACCATCTAGCCAAAAAGAATGCCTAGCTGGAAATGTTTAAGTGTCTAATGAGTGGCACAGATTAATGACACAGCAAATGAGAGGATGCAGGAGTCAGGACTGGAGTTTAACCTTTAAGAATGTACACAATTTACAGAGACCAATGAGAGGAGGAAGAACTCTGCAAGCAAAGGTAACAGCACGATCAAACACACAGAGGTGGGGAAGCATGAGGAGTGGTGTACCAGACAAAAAGCAAAGAGATGGGCCTGGCTAGAATGAAGGGGCAGTACATAGGGGAGGAGATAAGAGAAGCTGCGACTGGATACCAAGAACTCTCAATTACTTTGTTTTCAAATCACACTATTCTACCCCGTTTGGTTAATTCTGACTCCACAGGACTTTATGTAGGGGATCAGAAATTTAAGGACATCAGAGACCATCTAGTCCATTTTGCAAATGAGGAAAATTGAGGCCCAGCAAAGTTGTGTCTTACCCAAGGTCACAGAGACAGCAATGTCTTCTTACAGGTTCTGGAAGATGTAAGACTTGAACCTAGATCCTGATTGCCCAGCCAGTGCTCTTTCCTTTGTACCAGGCTGGTGGGATGTCCAATTCCTTTCTCCCCAGTGAAAAATACAGATGTTGGTCTCATCTTTCTTCACTAATGCCCTACAACCCCTTTCCCCCCAAAAAAACTGGGCCCAAGAAGAAGGTTTTGGGGGCTGACTTTTTTTTTAAAACTGTAACCATTGTATTTTATCATTTTACTGGTTCTGCTTACTCCACTTTGCAACAATTCAAGCAAATCTTACCTTTCTCTGAATTCTTCATACTTCCTACATAGAGATCTTCTCTAATCAATACGTACCCACTTTGTTTCAAGTTTTTTGCTATTATAAAGTGCAGCTATGAATATTTTGGGCATGTATGTATGTATGTATGTATGTATGTGTGTGTGTGTGTGTATGTATGTATATATATATATATATAAACTTTCTATCTTTGACTTCTTTGAGGTATATGCCCCAAAGTGAGATCTCTAGGTCAAAGGCTATTAAACTTTTGGGACTAAGACTTTGTGATAGTTTTGAATTAAGACCCAAGCCTAAAAGCTACATAAAGCTTGATTTGGGAGGTAAAGCCAAAGTATTCACAACACGGTTTTGGGATCCCTTACCTCTCTGAATCATATCCTTTGTCCGTGGTCGGGGAAGCTTGATGAACATGTTTCCAAAGCAAACCATCACTTTATCTGAAATAGTAAATAGCCCATGGTCAGCCTGATAAATCAGCAAGTGTTTATTAAGCACCAACTATGTGCCAGGCACTGTGGGACACAA